ACACACAAGCTGGAGTCACGTGGGGGCTTTACAGATTTCAGATTTCAGTCCTTCATCTGGTGTCGCCTGCGAATCTCTGCTCCCAGTTGGGTGTCGCGGTGTCATAGCTTGAGTTCTTTTTGCCAGAAGCAATCTTTCAACTTCATCTAGACGCACTTGCTCAACTTTGATTTTGTTATCTGGGACACTGAGGTCCCCTCTGATGTCCAGACCCTGCGCATTTCTGCCTGTGTTTTCTTCAGGTGTGTTACGGTTCTGGTCAGATCTTCAGGCCTTTATCCAGTTTTTCTACCTCCATTTGTTGAAGAGGTTCTCACTGCTCCACCCCGAGCATCCAACTGCTTTGTCATAAATTAATGTTCCTGTATCTGAGGGTCTTGTCACTGAGATCCCAGTTCTCATCCTTTGGTCTGTCCTCATCCTTTGGTCTGTCCGCCTGTCCTAGTCCAATACCAAGCTGTTTGGATTCCTATAACTCTAGTACGAAACCTAATACCTTTGATTATTGGTGGGGCTTTAGGTTTCTGTGCAAATTTTAGTAGTGGTCACTCTAGTCCCTTGAAGAATGTCATTGGGATTTTGATGAGAATTTCATTAAATCTGTATAATAGTGCTCTGGGTAGACAGACAATTTGAAAATATTCTTTTAATCCATGAACTTTTCCCATCTCCCGATGTCCCTTCAGAGTCTTCCCTGAGTGACTTACAGTTCTCATGACACATATTTCACATCTTGTGTTAGTGAATTCTAGGTATCTTGGGCAATATTCTAAATGGGGTAACCCTTTGATCTCCATGTCTTTGAGTTCACTGTTTATATATAAAAAAATGCAACCTATTTTTGTGTATTGATTTTGCAGTCTTCTGAGAGTTCATCAGTGGAGTTTTTAGGGTCATACAAACACATTTTCATGTCATTTGCAAACAGTGAGAGTTTGACATTTTTTCCAATTTGAATTCCTCTGATTTAATTTTCTTCTCTAATTGTTGTGGTAAACAAGACTTGCAAGACTACATGAAACAACAGTGGTTAAGGGGGACATCCTTGCCTTGTTACTGATCTTAGGGGATCTTTCAGGCTTTTTCTCATTGAGCATGATGGTAGCTATGTTTTTTTTTTAAATGCCCTTCACTACCTTGAAGAATGTTCCACCTATCCCAATTTTGTTGAGGGTTTTAACCATAAGTGGATGTTGAATCTTGTTAAAAACTTTCTCAGCATCAATTGATATGATTATATATTTCTTTATCTTTAGTTGGTAGAACATGTTGCATCATTAGATTTCTGTGCATTGAACCACCTTTGCATCCCTGGGATGAATCCTAGTTGATCGTAGTTTATGATCACTTCTGATCACATCAGAAAGATCATTTCTGATGTGTTATTAGGATCCTATTCATGAATGCTTTCTTGAAGATTTTTTGCATCAATGTTCATCATGGATATTGTTCTGTAACTAGGATGGCGTTGACTTCACAGTACCTGCTAGGAAATATTTCTATTTTTTCAAGGTTTTGAAGGAGTTTGAGCCATATGAGTAGAATCTTTTCTTCAGAGTTTGCTGAAACTCATGAGTGAGTGCACCTAGACAGGGACTTTTGCTCTCAGGGAGACTTTTAGTCACTGTTTCAATGCCGTTCCTTGAGATTGGTCTGTTCAGGTTTTCGAGTTCCTCCAATAATCCCATTAAAAAGTGGGAAGAGATGAAAAGACACCCCCATGAAGAAGACATATGGATGGCAAGAAAAAAGGGTATGTAAGAGTGCTTGCTGTCACTTATACTCAACAAAACAATGACATATTACCTCACACCGGTGAGAATATATTTTTAAAAAAACAACGCAATAGAACGGGAGATGCGTGCTGAAAGTAGACAATGGACCGAACATGATGGCTGCTTAGCACCTATATTGCAAACTGTAATACCCAAAAGGAGCGAGAGAGTAAGAGGGGAGGTGCTTTCCACAGAGGCAGGGGGTGGGAATGGTGGGGGTGGCGGGAAGGATACAGGGAACATTGGTGGTGCCGAATGGGCACTGGTGGAAGGACGGGCACTTGACCATTGTATGACTGAAACAGAATCACAGAAGTTTGTAAGTCTGTAATTTTCTCTCACAATGATTCATTAAAAAATTTAAAATTTTTTAAAGACTTTAAAAAAAAACAAAAAGTAAAAAATAAATAAATCTTTAAATAATTTTAAAAAAAGCAAGAAACCACCTATGGGTTGGAGCAATAGTATAGCAGGCAGGGCACTTGCCTTGCATATTGCTGACCAGGTTTCAAACCCCGGCATCCCATAAAGTCCCCTGGGCACCCCCCAGGAGTAACTCCGGAGCACAAAGCCAGGAGTCACCCCTGAGGATCAGTGAGTGCAGCCCCAAAACAAAAACAAACAAGTGCCAGCAGGGTGTGGTGAGTTCTCAAGGAAAGGCCCAAGCTTGTAACTGACCCAGCTGGTCCATTTTTAGGTATTTACCCCCCAAGAGACAAAAGCATTAATTAAAAAATCATATGCAGACCGACCTTCAAGGCGGGTTTTCGTTGGATAGTTGGCCACGGAAGCAAATGTCCAACAGATGAACGGATCACGGGCACGGAGGGGCTGGAAAGACGGCGGGGGGGAGGTGCTGCCTCTCCCATAACGCCCCACAGGGTCCTGGCGAGGCACCTGCCACTCACGCAGCCACAGACAGATGCCCAGGGCACCCCGAGCGACAAGAGCGGCCTGGGGCACGGCCAGGTGACCCAAAACAAAAGGAAACCCCAAAGAAGCTACAGGACCCGTGCACGACACAAAACTACGCGGCCCCAAGAGGAAAGGCAAGGCACGAAGCGGGTGGCGGCTTGGGTGGCACCGAGGGGACCCTGCAGGGTTGACGGGCCCGAGCCCCGGGGCACTCACAGGGGGTTCTCAGGGCCCTGCGCAGCACAGACCAACATACCGGGGCTGCGGGCCGTGTCCGACAGCGGTGACATCCCAAGACTGGAATTCAGGGCCAGGGGGCCAGGTGCGGGGCTGTAGGGATGAGAACCAAGAGATGGGATGTGACACGGGCCGGGGGCCTGGAACCCAGGTGGCACTGTGGGAGGGAACAGCAAGCACCGAGCACCCCACCCGGGCTGGCAGTCAACAGAGGTCACAGGCGCTGGCCGTGGTGGGTGCACTGTCTCTGCACCTCAACGCCAGCAAGTTGAACACCCTTCAACCTCTTTCACCTAAACTATAATAACATTCTTTAAAAGCGTGCATTATTCTGAAGGAACCATCCAACTACTAATTTGTTCAATTAAATGTGCTTATTTCACGTGGCACCTCAAGAAACAGGATTTGGAAAACAAATGTGAGATCACCCTGTCTGTACTTGACACGGCTTTGCCAGCTGAATCCCGGGTTTTTAAAAGGTTTGAAAGAAGCCTTCTGGGGGCGGAGGGTTCCCAGCGCACTGGGTGGTCTGCATGCCCCTCACGGAACCGCCGAGGGATGAACCCGAGGTGACGACTGAGTCCTCTCAGCAGTGTGTCGTAGCTTTCAGTTTACAGGGTTTTTTTTTTTTTTCTAGCTTTTTTGGGTCACACCCAGCGATGCTCAGGGCTCACCCTGGCTCTGCACTCAGGAATTACTCCTGGCGGTGCTTGGGGACCCTATGGGATGCTGGGGATTGAACGCGGGTCGGCTGCGTGCAAGGCAAACGCCCTCCCCACTGTGCTATCGCTCCAGCCCCAGCTTACAGGTCTTTCACCACTTTGATTAAATCGATCGAAGAAAATTATTGATAAGCCTTGGAGCAACAAGGCCCAATTCAATCCCGTTGTGTAGCAGATACTAAACCAAGTGCACGTCTGACACACGCTGCTGAAAGCCTCGTGGGCCAACGTGTTTCCACGCAAAGACTGGGATTTTAGAAACAAATGGTGTTAGGGGAAAAGACTCTGAATTTGTATGAAACAGGTTGATAAAATTAGCTTTAATCAAAACTAGAGACACACAGGCAGGCCAGCACATGTCATTCTCTGGTGTGGGTCTCTAACCAAATCAGCGTTGTCTCTGAGAGACGGGGATGGCACTGATCAAACAGGCAAGACGGCGCAAGAATGATTCCCTGTGTGGACAACGGCTGCTCCAGTGACCACCGGCCCCCCGACTCTGCGGGCAGGAAGCAGCCGGGAGTGCTGGGACCAGCGACCCTCGCAGCAGGGTGCCGCCAACGAGCACCGAACAAGAGACTCATCCAAGATCCTCCTCCGGCAGAGACGCAGACGCCCGCCCCCAGCCCGGCTGCGAGGAGGGTGGGCTGACCGACACTCGGGCCGGCTGCAGGAGCACAGGCGACACGTATGCAGCTCCTGTTGCTTTCTCGCTGCAGGTCAGGGCCGCTGCCCCGGGGGCCACCTCTGTCTCCCCTGGAGCTGCCACCCAGATCTGCGTCTGGGGCAGGCCAGGACTACTTCAGTCTGCTCTGGGCAGGGAGGGCCTTGGCCCACTGCCCCCCTGGACACCCTCCTACTTCTGAGCTCCAGGCCACTGCTGGGCGGAACACAAAATGTTTGGATTTTCTCTGATGGGGACATGCAGATATTGAAAAAAAAAAATCGAAAAATTCAAATGCGAAACAGTGCCTCCACGCAACTACGGGTGATTCGAAGATAAACTCCCCAAAGCATCCAAGTACAAGTTCCCGATCTCGTCACAGTCACAGGCCAGAGAACAGCAAAGGCCGTCGCTCTGCTGGAGTTATCTGATGGACATCAGGGCCACGGGAACCGAAGCCAGCGTCCCCATCAGCCGGAGCCAGACTCGCCGATCTCAGCCCCACCCCCGGGGCCTATTTTTCTGTCTATCGTCAAATGCCCCAACTTTAACTCTGAGTTTACACAAGCACACTTTCCCCTCCAGAGTTCACCCCGGAGAGCACATGGCGTGAGACTGAGCCAACAGTGCTCGCGCTGGGCGGCGGGCGGGCGGCGGGCGGCAGGGCTGGGCCCGGCCTGCGGTTACCTGGGCGTCTAAGAGCTCCTCACACCTGCGCGCCTGCTTCTCGATGGCGGAGATGTACTGCTTCTCGATGGCTTCCACTTGCTGCTGGACGGAGCACTGCAGCAGGGCCTGCAACAAGCAAGCAAGGGACACTTGGAGTTGGCCGCTGGCATGCACACGGGCACACGGAGCCGAGACGCAAGATGCCCGGTGCAAGGCATGCACACACACACACACACACACACACACACACACCACACACACAGACACACACACAGGTACTGGCTCTCCGCTCAAACCCAGCACCCGGCGGGCGGGACCGGGTCTCTGGACCCCACCTTCCTTCCTCACGGCCCTCGCAGAAGGCCAAGTCGAAGAGGATGATAAAGGGGGTGGTGGTGGGGGGGGAATGCTGTTCTGTGAAACCTAAATTCAGTTTAGTGGAGACCACACAGGATGCGGAGTGTATAAAAGCTGCTGAAAAAAAAAAAGGAAAGAAAAAACCAGACATATTTCACTGGCTGACAAAACTCCACATCCTCTCGGCACGCTGCAGCATCCCAGGGCCAAGCATGAGCTTCAAGACCACAAGTCAAGTGAAAGCAGATGGAAACTCTGAGCAGCTCCAACATGAAAGAACCGCCCCTGCGGGCCCCGCCCCGAGTGTGCAAAGGTGTAAGTCAGAGCCTGGATGTCAGAGTCGCCAGGCAGGGCCTGGGCCGTGTGGGCAAACCGGGCGGCTGGGACAGGGCCAAGTGGGCACAGCCCTGCCCCCAGCCCCAGCCACTCCGAGCACTGACCCCGAGCAGGACGCCACGGAGAGCCCCGGGCTTCTCCCACCCACCCACTTCCTCCCTGGAGATGCTTTGAATACTATCATCGTTTCCCCTGTCTTTCTTTAAAAAAAAAATTTTAAAGGCACTATATGTTATATGTAACATGTTTTCAGTATTATCATGCAAGCTATTTATAAATCTTGAACCATTTAAAAATCTGCACTCAACCATATACATAAGACCCTTTAACAAATATTCTATTTTTGAAGGTCTATCTGGATAATAAACTACTCATAATCAAAATAGTAAGTTGAAACAGACACGTCTTATAGAAAACAGACCTTTGGCACACTCACCAAGAAAGGAAACTAAGCCAAATCTCTTAAATAATCTGTTTTGAAAATAGATTCACTTGGTTGAAAACAACGAGCATTAAGAAGCTAAATAAATATGCATGTATTTTTAAAGCTGAGAAAAAAATATTTGTAAAGCCCCTGGAGAGGCCTCAGGTTTCCATCTAATTGATGTTGTCTTGCAACCGTTCGTCTGGATGAGGGTCCTACGGTCCCCCAGTCTTCATCGGAAGCTGCAGAATTACGGGGGATTAGAGAAGGAAATGCAAGGCCGAACAGGGCTGCTCGGGCCCTTCTTCCGTTTGATTCCGTGGATGCCTCACAGAAGGCAACAGGGCCCCTCTCGGCTCTGACTAGGTAGTGAGACACTCTCGCACGCCTTTGGCAAAGACAGAACATACCATTTGTTAGAATAAAAAAAATAAACTACCGACAGTATAGCCATAGATCACTCCCTTCCGTGTAGTCACAGTATTCTCGGAAGGGCTGAAACACCCGTGCTGGAGGGGACTTGGGATATGGGGGGGGAATAAAAGGCAGTAGGGCATTGGCCTTGTGCAGAGCCGCCCCATGGAGCCGGGTTCGATTCCTCCTCCCTTCTCGAGAGCCCGGCAGGCTACCGAGAGTATCTCCCCCGCACGGCAAAGTCTGGCAAGCTCCCCGTGACGTATCCGATATGCCAGACACAGTAACAACGAGCGTCACAATGGAGACGTTACTGGGCCCGCTCGAGCAACTTGATGAACAACGGGGGGACAGTGGACAGTGCTACAATGCTTAGTAGCAAACACTGCTTCCACCTCCCAATTTCCTGGGTCCAGGGGACCCACAGTTGGAATAGCCAAGTGTGAGGTCCAGCAGATCAAATCTTTTGGAGAGACACATTAATGATACATAATAAAAATCTTCTCACCCGAATTAAGAAACGGTCACAGAGTGTTTCTCCAGGGCCCGGAGCTGCCGCGGCGGGCCAGAGCACACGCCTCCATGAGAGCACCCTGAGCCCGGTGGCCCCGGAACCCTGGTGAGAACCTGCACAAAGCCTTTTCCTCTGGCGGTGACTCTGGACATCGGATCCCTACTTCCCCCAGGGCGCACGGCAGACCCGAGCACAGTGAGGGAGTCACGGCTGCCGACTCTGAGAGGATGCCCAGGAGTCATGCCCAATGCGGCCCCCCCAATCCCTGAGCCCAGCCCGGTCACTGAGACTCACACGTCGACACAATGGGGTGCCAAGGGCGGGCCGGGCCACCTCCCTGACTGCCCCGGGGTGGAGAAGGCCAGGGAGGCCGCGCGAGGGAGAGTCGAGGGCGTCAGGCAAGACTCGGGCTGCATCCAAAGACAGGACACAGGAGAGAGAACAGCAACGCCAGGAGGGAACGGGGCAGGGGGCATGGGTGTCAAGGGCCGAGGACGTCCCGGATTAGCCGCGCCCAGGTGCCGGGAAAGGTGGCGGTTCCCGAACCCCGGGGAGCGCCCGGAACACCAGCCGCGCTGGGCGCAGACAAGCACGCCGGGCGCCAATGTCTACGCTCGCCTGGTCAACGCAGGGCTGGACCCTGACTTTCCAATGTAATATAGACTATAATAACGGCCTTTACATTTCTCACATATTTTCGGTATGAAAATAAACACCAATCTCCACATCTCCCTGTAATTATTTCCCGTCCGCAGTTGTCTCTCCAGGTGCCAAAGACTAAGCGAGTCTTTCCATGGGCCCATGAAACTCTCCAAAGTAGCATTCGTTTGTAAAGCGCTTTAAACTACTCGCAACACATAAACGGTGTAGACCGAGAGTGTGTTGGGGTATAAACAGCCGTATACAAGCTTCCTGCAACGAGCAACGGAATGGGAAGAGGGTCCCGCGAGAAGCAGAGGGTTCCTGTGGAGACGGCAGCTTCCTGGCCCCTTTCTAGCTCTGACTGCAGGTCCTGCCACCCTCCGAAAGAGGGAGTTAATGAAGCTATCGGAGTGTCCAAAAAAAAAAAAGTTACCAAGGGATTGTTTTATTAATTTTAAAGGTTTTAGCTTCAGTTTTAGCGCATATTTTCTACAACATCCTAGATACCACTCAATCATCCTAAAGAGCGAATCTCGCTTGAAGGAATACCTATACTTCCCAATGAACTTCTTACCAAGCACCGGGGAGAGAGGAGGCGTAAGAAGGATGCCCCCTGCTTGGGGCAGGTGAGAACACGGAAGGTCCCAATTACACGGCAGCATCACTAGACTTCAGCTTCCGCGACTGAGCTCAGCTACCAAGTTGTTGCTACTATTCTGCTTCATCTTTACGAGGGACTCTCACTTTCTAAGTTATTATCTTACACTAAACATGTCCAGTCTGTCATTCTGCTCTACGGGACAAACTTCGAGATTATCAAATAAAGGACTTCCAAACTCCTTGGAAGGAAAAGTATAATATGATCACTACCATGATCACTAATAGAAAGCAAGGATGTCCAATTGAAAGGCAACTCCACCCACACACCCTGTAGATCGGTATTTTTCAATTTCTGAAATAGCACTGTAGCACTGTCCTCCTGTGTTCATTGATTTGCTCGAGCGGGCCCAGTGACGTCTCCATCGAGACTTGATGTTACTGTGACTGGCAATGACAGATCTTGGCAATAGTGAACAGTGCTCCAGTGAGAGCCGCGAATGTCTTTCTGAGTAGACATTTGTGGGCCTGAGCGTAGAGGCCAAGAAGGGGAACTGGTCAGATGAAAACTCAATTCTCAGTCTTCTGAGCAGTGTAGCACTGTGGCACTGTCCTCCCGTTGTTCAGTGATTTGCTTGAGTGGGTACCAGTAACGTCTCACAACAAATTGTGAGACTTGTTGGTACTGTGTTTGGCATATCGAATACGTCACGGGGAGTCTGCCAGGCTTTGCCGTGCGGGCGGGATACTCTCGGTAGCTTGCTGGGCTCTCTGAAAGGGGTGGAGGAATCAAACCCAGGTTGGCCGCGTGCAAGGCAAATGCCCTACCCGCTGTGCTATCACTCCAGCCCTGTTGTTCAACAGAGGTCGACCCATGTGACACCCCACCGTCGGGTGGAGAAGGCTCCTTTCCCCTCATCCTCGCCGTCAACACTGGTTGTTTTTTTTTTGCTCCTTTTATGTCCGCCAGTCCCACTGACCTGGAGTGGCACCTCACAGTTGTCTGACTGACCTTCCCCAGCCATGACTAAGTGATTCCGAGCATATTTTCACGAACCAAGCGGCTGCCTGTACGTCTTCCTTGCGGAAGTGTCTGTTCACTCTTCTCCCCACTTTTGGATGGAGTTGGTTGTTTTGTTCTTGTTAAGTTTTACAAGTGTTTACATATCTCGAATATTAACACTTTGTCAGAGGACAGGTTAAGCAAACATTCTCTCCCGTCTCTGGGGTGTCTTTTTACCCCGGTCATAGTTCCTTTTGCAATGAAGACTCTTCTTAATTTGATGTAGCCCCTTCTGTTTATTTTCGCTCCTGGTTAGTTGGACAGTGGCACTGCACTGTTGAAGATGCTTCCAGATTCGATGTCATGAAACATTCTCAGGATAATTTATGCCTTCAGGTCTCAGGTCAGAGTCTAGGTAGAGCCAATGAACTGAGTGTCTACTGGACTTGACCTGAGTGGATTCCCAAATCCCAATTCCTAAAACCCAGACAACAACTAATTGCCCTGAAAAATCCCCAGAGATCTTCTCCCTTGGAACAGCCCGGTTCTTAGAGATCTGATTCAACCTCAACAAATTAAATTATGCATTCGGATGTGCAGAGACAGTCTCTGAAAACACTCACACCATCTCAGTATGCAGTGCATGATCTTAAAAGCACACAGCACAGCTCAACATATAGGAACATTCATTCAATGTTTAAGTTGAAAGCTCTTCCTGTCAGCCTCAGGCTGTGGCTCCGTGGCAGAGCACGTGCTGCTGTGGTAAGGCCCTGGGGTCAGTCCTGGCACCGCCATAGCAAATAGGATTTTTCTAATGATATTCGAGTCGAACTTAGAAA